TCACCATCTGAATCAGAATTGTAAGCACGTGTATTTTCAAAAGCAACTCCTTGTTTCGAAACAATGAGTTCAGCTCCTACACTTTATGGAAGAAACTAATAAACAAATTAAAAAGTTTAATAATAGGGACTTGCTTATGCATATTTTGGCACTAAAATAAAATGGAAAGGTATGTAGTCTTTAATGTAATAAAATACAGCAATATATAGTAAACCTGTGTGAAGACTATAAAAATTTTTCATTTTATGATTCCAATAAATTGACTAGTTGTAAATCATAGAACAAATTCATGTCAAATCTAGGCAATCTTCAAATGTTGTCTCTGCTCATTTAAGAATTCTGTCACATTATTATGTATCTGAGAAAATAATGAAAACTAAATATGCTTTGTCTCTTTTTTTAAAACTACAAAAACTGACTTTTTCCTTTTTCTATGCAGGCATTTTTAGATTGCTCTTTCTGTTTGAGGGTCATGGAACTCTGAAGATCTGTGTCAGATTCTCTGTGTTAATTTCCATCAAATGTGAATTAAACAAATCTTTATGGAGGGGAAGGGTATAAAAGAAATGAAGGCTTTAGTAAGTGGACAGAGAGCAGTTGGATTGATTCCACACTGATGCGGAGTTTGTATTCCTGGAGAGAGAACAGAACCTAGAGGTTTCTGTGGTTCCAAACCTGATATGCTGATGTGACAACTAGGACCTGACCACTGAATAACTAAGCATCATACTCTTGAAGGCAAGGGTACACAGAAGGTCCTGGGAGCCACATTTGGTATGCAAGGATTGAAATTATATCACAGGATAATGTATTTTTGAAAGGAGCCTGGAGATACCATACAGGTATTTTAGTAGTAGCCAAAATGAACTGTAGCAAGGGCTATTCCCTATTAATTCTGGATTGATCCACCCCCATTGTTTAATCCCAAGGGAAGGAAATGGGCAACTCTCAAATCACTGATATGGATTTTCAACCATATGGTGGGTGAAGGTAAAGGTAGTTTTAATTTTTTTTTTTTAGAACACATATAAATTTGTTTTCTGCATCTGAACATTTAGGGGAAAAGTTAAACCTGTAGTATGCATGTATGTATGATATATAGATTGCATACTTGTTTTTTCCACTTTAGTTCTACTGCACTATTTTTGTGTCTCCTGCTGTTATCAAAATTAAGCATTCATTATTCATGTAAGATACAGAGGAAAACAAAAGTAAAATGAGAGGGAAAATACTAATTTGATCATATATTTTTAAATGACCAAAGAAATATTTTCAAATATACCTAACAAAGTTATACCAGGGAATGTGTCTTACTATACACATTGTTAACATTTGTATTTTATTATATGCTAGGCATTCCAAAGATTATTTTTTTCCTCCTATTGTTTTCTCAGATTTACTGAACCATAAAGAAAAGAAGAGAAAAAAACTGGTTCATTGTTACAAAGCACTTCCTACTGGGGATTTGAAGTCTTCTTATTTTCTGCTTTTCATCTAAATTCAACATCATGATGCTGCAATATAACCAAAAGAAAATGCTGTAAATATGAAAATGTTAATTTAAAGCTATACACACACCAGGTTCAAAGAATATGCAAGGCACATGTCAGCGGGATTGCCTGGGTTGATGTGGACAATCCAACCCATATAATAAGCAGGCCAATGGCTCTTTAGGCAAATGCAAATGCCATAAATCAAATCATCTGCCTGTTATTTAAGATTATTAAATATTCTGCCAAAAAATCCTACTTTGTGCCTTTCTAATTTTCTCTTCCACTACAAAGCCTTCAGCATTTTGTGGTTTTTCATCTACCAACGAGTTAGTAAATGCAAGTAAATATGAAACGCAAAGAATTATACATGATGTCTATTTCAGGATTTATTTTTAAAACTATGAATTTTTAGCTTTTTGTATGGCTTAATATCTTTGTACTATTTTATTATAGAATGCACTGTTTTCCAATAATATACTATTTACTCACACACAAAAAGGCAATATTTAACAAGACATTTGTACAATGAAGTGCTAACTCAAAATTAAGTGCTCAACCTTATATATTCCATAGAAACGACTGGCCTTTTACTGGCTCCTGGGAGATAACCTCTGAGCTTGGAATATCCTAACAGATAATAATGTCTTTGACACCTGAGACCTTACGCTGTGCCAAATAGTTTATGCTAATTACATGTGATTTATGCTCGCAGCCTTTTTTTTGTATGCCTGGGGCTTTGGGCCATGCTGCATCAGCTTGGCCACTGCAGGAGCCAGAGACTGATTAGCTAAGGTCAGTTACACAGGTGCTTCATGTCATCATGGCTGACCTACAATGAAAACTGTAGACAACAAGGCTTATGTGAACTTCCTTGGCTGGTTACACCTTATATACGTTGCCCTACATTGTTTCCGAGAAAATATTTTAAGTATTTTTTATGCAACTCCAGTGGGAGAATCCACCTGGAAGACTGTACCTGGTTTCTCTTAGACTTTATCTTATGTGTCTTTCCCTTTGCTAACTTTAATCTGTAACTTTTATTGTAATAAATCCTCACAAAAAGTAAAACAGTTTTTCTGAGTTCTTCCTATACATTATCAAATCTGAGGGTAGTCTTGAGGCCCCAGACACAATATCTGAAAACAGTGTAATACTTTGAAACTTGTTTAATATTTCAAGCAATCTGCGGTCTCTATAAAACCTTCTCTTGGAAGAATATCACCAGTACAGTGACATTTCTGTTCTCAAAGTTGATATATGACTTACAGTTAGGAGTTAGATAACTTCAATAGATAACTTCAATATGTAAAAATGTATTTAAACCAGTTAATAAAATGAGAACTTTATCACTTTTTCAACCTTGCTTCTTTCTGCTTTTTTCCCCCATATTCTAACAATTTCTGGAAGTCAAAGTCAAGATATTAAACTGATACTAAAGTTAGTTGGAATGGCTTCTTAGTAGCAATTTACAAAATAGACAAATGAGAAAATAATATACTTGGAAATTCTATTATTTGGTATAACACAGCATCTAAAATTGTACTCCTTGACTTGTCAAATGACTGACTCAGTGTCCCACAGAATATCTGTGGCAGTCTCAGGTCTGGAAGTGGAATATTATGATTACAGGTATGGGGTTCTTTCTTCTGTAATAAACTCATATTATTGCTGAAGTTATTGCTGAAATCCCAGCCTAAAATAAAGCTTAATTACATTATGGATGTGTACATTAGATGATTTACCTGCAAGTAAAAGGAGCTCTGACTTAAGCAATGTTAAACAAGAGGCCATAAATGATCACATGTATTAGGCTCAGAGGTTGGGCAAGCACCTGAGAGGTTCAGTCAAGAGTTCAACAACTGACCAAAGACCATATTTCTTCTATCTGGAAGCTCTGGCTGTTTTCAGGGAATTCATTAGTAATAGACTAACAGTTTATTAAATTATTATTTAAACAGTTAATAGTGATAGTCTAACAGTCTACACCCCCCATCTTGCTTTAGGGCCTCACAATGGTAACAGCAACTACGTAAATCCAGATGTTAAAAGGTATGGGAGAGGTCACACTTATCTCTTCCTCACATTCTAACAGCACGTAAGGAAACCTTTCCTCAGAAAGAGTGTCTCCCTTGCCTCAGAGACCATCATAGTGTCACATGCCCATTTCTAAAGGAATCCCCAAGAGTAGGATGAGATTAACATGACTGGCTTAGATAAAGTATCTGACATGGACCAAGACAAAGCATCTAGACAACCACAAATAACTAAAAATTGTCTAGATAACCTCAGGAGCAACTCTGTTTCTGGTCATGGATATGTAAATATGAGTTACAATTATTCCTTTGGTGTCTACAGTTCTTGTGAGAAAAACTAGTTTGCCATAAATGTTCCTTTCATTGTAAAAGCAACGTCAGTGCAGACAGTCAAAATATGTGGTGGCTGTTTGTTTTCTAACTTCAACAAGTATAGTCCTCTTGCAAATATCAGTTATTAGGTAATAAACTATAAGCCTGTATTATTATTGTAGCATTGACTTGTGTTGTCTGTCGTTTATTTTCTAAAGCCAGTCAGTGAGTGAGTCCACCTTAGGTAGGTATTTTTATGCCAGGCTTTCTGAGAAATGAGGAGCCGGAGGGTATCCCAAATCAACTGCCTATAGTGTCACAGATCATTTAAGGCACAATGGCACATGCCTGTGACAAAGACGATGACAAATGAATATGTACTGAAAGGACAACACCAACAGACAGGTGAAGGAAACTGGAAGTATGTAATATGAGATGGAGTTCAGAGTAAAATTTAAGATAATGATAATGAAATATACATGTGAATGTAATGCCACGAGTTGGATAAAAATAGGACATACGCGGATGTAATGCCACGAGTGGGATAAAAATGGGACATACGTGGATGTAGTGCCACGAGGGGATAAAAATGGGACATACGTGGATGTAGTGCCACGAGGGGATAAAAATAGGACATACGTGGATGTAGTGCCACGATTGGGATAAAAATGGGACATACGTGGATGTAGTGCCATGATTGGGATAAAAATGGGACATACGTGGATGTAGTGCCACGATTGGGATAAAAATGGGACATACGTGGATGTAATGCCACGAATGGGATAAAAATGGGATATACGTGGATGTAGTGCCACGAATGGGATAAAAATGGGACATACGTGGATGTAATGCCACGAGTGGGATAAAAATGGGATATACGTGGATGTAATGCCACGAGTGGGATAAAAATAGGATATACGTGGATGTAATGCCAGGAGTGGGATAAAAATAGGATATACGTGGATGTAATGCCACAAGTTAGATAAAAATAGGTGGCTGTAAGACTCGCAAGTTCCTTAAGTTTGTGTTCTAACCTTGCGAAGTAAGCATAAGTAATACATATACTAACCTATCATACAGACAAAACTTCACTCTATTTGTAGGTAGGGGTTAAATTATATTAGTCCACATTAAAGTATATAGAAGACCAGTGGATACTAACGAGATGCAGTTCTTTGCAGGTAGAATTGTGCTCACAGGCATTCAGGGTGCAGTCATCAATGTCCTGTTCACATCTTACTCCAGCACAGAGTGGATTGTATAAGCAGGAAAAGCCATCAACCACTGCAAACAACAGAAAAGAGAAAACTCTTAACATTCCTTTAACCTCAGTACACGTAATTAGCCTAAAATTCTATAATCTATGCATTTCACTTTTAACCATAGAAAGTGTGATTATATTTAATAATATATTACGCAACCTTCTACAATATTTTTCAAAATAAGCATCTTATTCAGTTCTATTTAACTTTAAAAATAACTTCAATTATTTGAAATAAGGACAATTACAATGGGCATTTCAGTTTGCAAAGCAACAATGAAAGCATCCATTTTTTGTTGTTGCTGTTCTCTGTTTTTGGTGGTATACAGTATATATGATAAAAAGGTTACTATTGTATCATTTAATTCTCCCAGGTTGTTTTAGGTTTAATAAACAAGACCTTCACTGTTCAGTTGTTAAAGTTCTATATATGACAGAATATATTAAAGTGCATTGTGATCTGAAAGTTGATAGTGAGCTACTTACTTAAGCCTTAGTTAAAAAGAGCTTTCACATTTCATCAAAATCTTTTTAAAATCATGATCAAAATTGGTTCTTCATTTTGCCATTAATGACGAAAAAGAATGGTGTCTGAAGTATCTCAAGGAAACGGTGACAGTATGAATTGCAGCTGGAGCAGGCACCAATTTATAACTACTTGTCGGCAGTCCCTGAGTTCTTCATTATCCCTGAGATTTACCATGTAATCTATACTGCCATTATGCCTCTGTGCATGTACCTGCTATTACTCTCATTAAATGCCTAGGTCTTCAGTGGCAACAGCATTTTTAATGCACTGTAAGAAATTTATCTAGCTTCTAGATTTCTGCAGCCATGTTTTGTAAAACATGTGTAACTAGGGCCTCTAAGGAGAACAAGGCAGTCATACACATCAACAAGAGATAAGTAAAATACACAAGAATATGCAGCTCCTAAGACGGGATTTGACTTCTGTTTTACTTTTTTTTTTTTTAATCTAGAACTTAGTTTTTAACCTTTCACTGAATTCAAATTAATAAACAAATGCAACTGTAAATGAATTAATGTGATAAAATGGTGTCAGTCTGTCCTTCATTCTGTGTTACACATGGTATTTTGTATTTTAACCACGTATCATACAATATATAATTAAGACATTGTGGAGTGTCATCAATCATAGCAATATTTAAAATTTCACTTATGATAATTATCTAAGTTTGGATACTCTTGTATACTGACAAGTAACAAGCAACTGGAGTCAAATTAACTTTCAGCATTGATGTTACCTGTCCTATGCAGACAAATTATAAATTACATTAAAAACAAATGACAACAAAAGGTAACTTTGAACTAACAAAGTGTCTGGAAACAGATTGTAAAAAAATAAACTATGCTTTTATTGTCAAGAAATATGTTTCTAACATAGACTAATGTAGACAAGGAATGTTTTTCTAATACTTTATTCTGGAATAAAAATCTAATAAATGGACTATGTGCCAGAAGAGAACCTAGAGGACTAAATTGGATACCAAAGGGAAATTGAATACTGCAAAGAAAAAAAATATATATATTTAAAACAAAGTAACAAAAAGTAGATGGTTTTTCTCATATCTAATTTAACTATGGGGCTATGTGATAAGCAATAACCATTCCATTGGAAAGACATTTAATACAGTCTTCCTCTTGATTGCTGCTGTTGCTTTTTAACAGCAAATCTAGTCACTGTGAAATGAAGCATAGGGAAGGGAAGAGCATGATCCCTTTAAATGATACAGAAGGGGGAAGGGAAGTGTTTAAATGATACAGAAGGGGGAAGAGTAGAAGAGGGCGTGGTCCCAGCTAGGGCTCCACCCCAAGCACCTAGGTGAGGACAGGCAATCCTGCCTTCCTGCCCCTGAAGGTTCCATTTCTCGAGACCACCCTGGCCTGCCCTGTACCCATCCTGTACCTATAAAACCCCCAAGACTCTAGCAGGCAGACACACAAGTGGCTGGATGTCTTTAGGAACAAGACAGGGGCAGCTGGACCGCACATCAGCAGAGAAACTCACAGATGGCTGGATGTTTAGAGGAACACACCGATACGCCCCTGCATGCTGGCAGGCCACCGAGCAGCAGAAGGATGTGGAGTTTTGCCAGGGGAGTCGGAGGAGAGCCCAAGCCGCTGAGCAGCCCGACTCCAAGGGAAAACCGTCTCCCTTCTGGCTCCCATGGCTGAGAGCTACTTCCACTCAGTACAACCTTGCACTCATTCTCCAAGCCCAAGTGTGATCCGATTCTTCCGGTACACCAAGGCAAGAACCCAGGATATGGAAAGCCTCTGTCCTTGTGACAAGGCGGAGGGTCTAATCGAGCTGGTTAACACAAGCCGCCTACAGATGGCAAAACCAAACCAACAAAACCAAAGGAGCATCCTGCAACACACGCCCACTGTGGCTTCGGGAAGTGTAAACTTTCACCCCTACACACTGCCTTGGAGTGGGAGCCCCCCATCCTGCCCATCTATACGCTCCCCTAAAGGTATGAGCAATGGGGCACTGAAGAAGCGAGCCACTCCCCCTGTCACATGCACTGCAATGGAGACAAAGGAACCTTTCCTATTTCGGCTGTATTGGCATGAGTCCATGTTTCTAAATATTTCACACTATTTTGAAGTCAAATTTTCTTAAAATAGGCCTTCTATGAATCTGGATGTATTATTCATTTCACCCTTAAGTATGTACCAGACCTCATATATACTGGTTGTACTGAATGAAAGTTTGAGATATGATCAAACTTTTTGGTGAAATGTATAGAGGTGTTTTCAAACTGTAACAATAGGCTGGGCGTGGTAGCTCACCCCTGTAATTCCAACAGTTTGGCAGGCTGAGGTGGGCAGATCATTTGACATCAGGAGTTCGAGACTAGCCTGACCAACATGGTGAAACCCCATCCTTACCAAAAATATAAAAAAAAAAGCCAGACATGGTGGCACATAACTATAGTAGCAGCTACTCGGGAGGCTGAGGGAGGAGAATTGCTTGAACCCAGGAGACAGAGGTTGCAATGACCCGAGATTGCACCACTGCACTCCAGCCTGAGAGACAAGGTGAGACTCCACCTCAAAAACAAAACAAAACAAAAAACTGTAACAAGAAAATTGTGAACAACCATATACTGATGTTTAAGATTTACAGACTCACACACACACCAACACATATATATAGTGATTTCTCATATATGGTCCTGTAATATATACTATTGAAATCGGAGAGTTCCCCGATACCCCTTACAGGACATGTGACAGGGGTGTGTGGCTGGCTTATACAGTTGCCGGAGCCGCTAAAACCCCTTGCAGGAGGGGGAGCATGCAGATACGCAGGTGCAGAGGCCAGGGTGAGTGCTTTGGGCTCTGGACCTGTGGTAGTGTCTAGGGGTAGGTTTCTGAAACCCCAGCATTACAATGCTCAGATGGCTTCAAGGATTAACCAGCTCAATTGACCCTCTTTCTGTATCATCAGCTCTTTCCCAGCATCTGGGAAGATTCACATGAATGAGAGGTCTTTGTGAGTGGCAGAGGTGGCTCAGAGCAGGATAGATGGGAAGGCGAAATTTGGAGATGGAGAGGGAAGGTAATCTTCCCCTGGAGTTGGGATAGACAGTGGCCAAACTCCTCTCTGACCACTCCCAGCTGAACTCCTCTTAGTAGTCAGATGTTTCTCCCTCTTCTTTCTCTGCCGTGTTGTTCTGCTGTTTGTCTACTTGACTTATCTCCTCATCTTCTGGTTTGCTCTGGAATCTGGGGTTCAGGGTTTATATGGGTATGGAATAGGGAGAATGGCAGGCCAAAAAACAACTTTTTGGGCACAAAAATAGGAATTCCTGTTCTCATTTACAGCCACAGGTATCCAGGCTTGAGGATGCGGACTTTGCCAGGAAACTACGTTCTTCTACCCATTGTTTCCCCATCTTCTGTCCATATCACGATTAACCAGAATTCAGGAAGTTTAGCTTCCCAAACTATTTTATTTTAGAGAAAGTGTTAAGAATCTAATGTCTTAGTTTCATTCTGATAACATTCTACATGTGTGATCTAAATTTTAATAAATATTTCATTCCCTGGTAGCTAAATATAATTGTGTCAGCTCCAAAATATATTATGAATAATTATATCATAAAATACATTAATATATTATTCAAATTTACAATTTCCATATTATGGTATCCAAATTTTAACAGGTAGTATGGCATTATAAATAACTTGTTTAGAAATTGCATTTTCTTATGTTAGAATAAATTATACATTAAAATATTTTCAAAGAACTTCTAAAAGTCAAATATAATATGCTGTTAGTCAATGTAAATAATTTAAATTAAAGCTGTCTATATGTAATCATTATTTTAGGACTGCCTAGGTATTTAAAAAGCAAAAAATCTCTAACTTCTCTCTCAGCCATGTGATACGTAAAAAAGCTATGAATCTTTTTTAAGTATCATTCCTCACCAGACACATGGAGCTCTGAAATGAAACAATACTAATATTTCAAGGTAATTGGAGAAATTCAGAAATTTTAAAAAAACAATATTTGAACTGCCAAAGTCTGGAACAAAAATAATAGCAATGGTGACTTATATCAAGAGTAGGAAAAAGATGGCACAGAGTCCACAGACCTGTTTTTGCTTAGCTGGCACAATGTTAGAAAATTAACATTATATTAGTATCTATACAGATATTTCAGTTTGCTAAGGCCCCACTACTACCCGTTGTTTTATATCTGGGTTGCTTCACCCAACTTACAACATTCAATTGCCTTAATATTGACTTGTATTTGCAGAGCACTGGTTTTAAGAAACAATTTTTTTTTTTTTTTTTGAGGAGAGGAAACATCATATTCAGAAAATACAAAGTGTGGAAAAGAGAAAAAGCAGCAACTGGAAAGTATACAACTTAGATGTGAGACCCTTGATTTCTAAGACATCCTAATATTTCTCTTTTATGATCTATTTGATTTCAGCCTCTATTTGTGTTCTTTTCAAGTCAAGTGAGCAAGTATGTGTGGAGTTTAT